AGCGCCGAGCGAGGGCGGGCCCAGCCCTGGAATCAGCTGGCGGGGGGGGGGACACGCGGGCAGCTCCGCCTTCGCGGCTCACTCGCGTGCGGCCGGGGCCGCTGCCTGCAGCCGGGGAGGGAAAAGTTGCGTCTGCGGGGCAGGGACTTCCCCGGGCGCGGGAACTCTGCGGGGAGGAGGCGTCGCGCCGGGCTGCTGCCGCCGCCTTAGCCCGGGGACCGGAGGAAGGAGCCGGGCTGATTTGCCAGCAGCCGGGCGCCGTGAGCCCCGCCGGTGCACAGACCCCGCACGCAGCTCCGCGGGCTGGGGGGACCCCATGAGCCTCTCCCGGCCGGAGCTGCTCCTCGGCCCGGCGGCTGCGGCGGGGCGGTGCCCCGGGACGGGCGGGCCGTCATGCCGAGCAACGGCAGCGGGGAGCTGGGCAACGCCACCGCGCCGGGAGCGGCGCCCGGCTACAACTTCGCCGCCTTGATCTTCGGCGTCTCGCTCATCCTCTGCGTCCTGGGCGGGAACCTGCTGGTCTGCCTGAGCGTCTGCTCCGAGCGCGCCCTCAAGACCACCACCAACTACTTCATCGTCAGCCTGGCCGTGGCCGACCTGCTGCTGGCCCTGCTCGTCCTGCCCCTCTACGTCTACTCCGAGGTGAGTCAGAGCCTCCTCCAGCAGGCTGCCCGCCGGGACCTCTGCGCGGCACAGAGCCCGGGCACCCTGGCTTGTGCCCCCTGGGTGCTTCCCAGCCGCTTTGCGCCTCCCTGGGTTTGTAACTGCTGCATCCCCTCTCCCAGCCCTGCTAGTGCGGCCAGACTGCGCCTCGCAGCTCTTCTGACTCGGCTCTGCGGCTTGAGCTACGTCCACACTGCAAAATGACAGGGCTTGGACCCCAGTCACAGCTGGAATGTGGAATGATCCCACCTAGAAGTTGGGGCCTGAGTGCTTGCTGTCTCAAGTCAGATTGATTTGGGTGAGGGGGGGGTTGGGATCAAACCTGAGTCAGAGCCCAGGCCTGATGTGCAGTGCAGACATAGCCTCCGGGGCTAGTTCCACCAGGCTGGGGTGAGGGATTATTTTGCCCCTAGTGTCGTGTTTGTTTGTTTAGGGTTCCAAATCAAAAGTAAAACACAGTTTCCTGAGCCTCTTTCAAGATGTGTCCACTCTGCCCCGCTGAAATGCAAGGTCAGGCGCATGGATATGAAATTTCTCAGCAATTGGAGTGAGGATCTGGCTGTAGATATTTGGATGGACGATTATTATTTTGGTTGCATGAGTGGTGGCCGGTTTTGCGGAATGTCTGACATCCGTGTCTGTAGGAGAAATCGCCTAGTGGTAGCCCAGCCAAAAATACTTTGAGAGAGTAACTTTTCAGCTCTGCGTGGGGCTGGAGAATGAAGGGTAGCAAATGTGGAACAGACTGAATGTCAGGCCTGTGTTAATTAGAAACTCTGATTCAGCACATGCCTGATACTATTACGTTATCTCAACAGAACTGTTATGATTAAAAAGAGCCCTTATTTTCCTAAGCTTAGTTGTAGCATACGCAAGAAGGATAAGCTATAGAGCTGGGATGTTTTTGCCTTGCAGGTGTGAATAGAAATAGTTATCCTGCAGTAAAGCTCATCAAAGTCAATTAGGGTGACCAAATGTCCCGATTTTATAGGGACAGTCCCAGTTTTTGGGGCTTTTTCTTATATAGGCTCCTATTACCCCCCCGTCCCGATTTTTCACATTTGCTGTCTGGTCACCCTAAAGTCAATGGAAAGACTCCCACAGCCCATAAAAGTCAATGCTCGGGCACTCAAGCTAGTGTTTGGATGTGCCCAAATCGTTTGAGAGGCAGCAGTTTTTTGCTCCAAGGGTGCATGTTGTGGGGGAGGGCAGCCCAGAGAGAATTGCTGGAAGGCCCAGCAGGGCTTGGAGACATGAGTAAGGCCAGGAAGCCCAGGTTCAAGTGATCAAGCAGCCGCATCCTCCCCCCCAGTTGTCTGAAATCCCTGAGGACACAGCACACAGAGTGAGAACACTTTTGGGCTCCCACATGCGCACACACGGGTGAGAGACACAGAGGCTTTACTGAGGGATTATAGGATTAGCATGGGGCTGGAGGAGAAGGGTTAAAGTGGGGGTTAGGAGAGCTGGACAGGGTTGGGGCAGACATTGAGGGTGTTGGGAAAACTGGAGGTTGCAGGGAAGGAGACACTGCCATCCGGCACCTGACCATGCTGGATCTGTCGTATATCATGAGGAAAATCAGGAAAAGGAGGTAGGAAGCTCAGAGTTCGGGGTGCCCTTACCTTCCTTGCAACGTCCATGGAACGCTGAGCACTTTCTCTGATCTTCCTGAGGCAAGGGTCATTCAGAAGTGCAAGCTCCGCTGCAAAGCCATCCAGCACCGGTGTGAGCTCCTGACACTCACCTAGAAGAGCCCCGTGCTCTGCTTCCCAGACAGCGTCACTGCAGATCAGATTGTTAAAGGTATCTAGGCATTGCTGCACTCATTGTTGCAATGCCTAACTGATTTAGGAACCTAAACCTAATCTTCAAAAGGGATTTAGGCATTTAGGAGCCTAAATTCTAATGACAGCTGATAACTGATTTAGGAGTCTAGATCCTATGTGTTGTAATGCTGAGCACAGCAATGACTAAATACCTTTACAAATCTGGGCCTAAGTGACTTAGCCTTTTAAGTGCCATTTCAAAACTGATTTAGGACCCTAAGTCCCATTGACTTTCAATGAGATTTAGGTTCCTAAGTGCTTAAGTCACTTTTGAAAATGGGACTTCGTTGTCTAGGTTAGGTCTTGCAATGCTGAATGGAGCAGCTCCTAAATACAACTAAAAATTTGGGCCTGTAGCACTCCACCATCTTGCCACAGGGTCTTTGCAAAGGACCATTAGAGATACTGCTTGCACCTGCCAGTTTGCCGCTTGTGTGTGCAAATGCATAGATGACTTCCTAACTACTATGACCCACAGGGTTACATGAGCACGAGTTTCCTTGTGGACTGGCAGAGCCCAACACCAACGACAGCAGGAACTGTATGCTGCAGAGAGCTTCCTCTCTATACTGGGCATTGTAGATGGCATAATGAAGTGCAATGTGTGTGTTTGGGGGGTGGGAGGGAGCGCGGATGGACGATTGACACAATGCAGCCTCTAGGAAATACACCTATTTCTTGAATATCATGGCTGTATGTAATGCAAACCTGGTGTTGACAGCTGTGATGGTTGGATACCCATAGATTCTAGGACTGGAAGGGACCTCGAGAGGTCATCGAGTCCAGTCCCCTGCCCTCATGGCAGGACCAAATACTGTCTAGACCATCCCTAATAGACATTTATCTAACCTACTCTTAAATATCTCCAGAGATGGAGATTCCACAACCTCCCTAGGCAATTTATTCCATTGTTTAACCACCCTGACAGTTAGGAACTTTTTCCTAATGTCTAACCTAAACCTCCCTTGCTGCAGTTTAAGCCCATTGCTTCTTGTTCTATCCTTAGAGGCTAAGGTGAACAAGTTTTCTCCCTCCTCCTTATGACACCCTTTTAGGTACCTGAAAACTGCTATCATGTCCCCTCTCAGTCTTCTCTTTTCCAAACTAAACAAACCCAATTCTTTCAGCCTTCCTTCATAGGTCATGTTCTCAAGACCTTTAATCATTCTTGTTGCTCTTCTCTGGACCCTCTCCAATTTCTCCACTTCTTTCTTGAAATGCGGTGCCCAGAACTGGACACAATACTCCAGTTGAGGCCTAACCAGCGCAGAGTAGAGCGGAAGAATGACTTCTTGTGTCTTGCTCACAACACACCTGTTAATGCATCCCAGAATCATGTTTGCTTTTTTTGCAACAGCATCACACTGTTGGCTCATATTTAGCTTGTGGTCCACTATAACCCCTAGATCCCTTTCTGCCGTACTCCTTCCTAGACAGTCTCTTCCCATTCTGTATGTGTGATCACTTTTTTCCTTCCTAAGTGTATCACTTTGCATTTGTCTTTGTTAAACTTCATTCTGTTTACCTCAGACCATTTCTCCAATTTGTCCAGATCATTTTGTGGTTTGAGCATTGGCCTGCTAAACCCAGGGTTGTGAGCTCAATCCTTGAGGGGGCCACTTAGGGATCTGGGGCAAAATCAGTACTTGGTCCTGCTAGTGAAGGCAGGGGGCTGGACTCGATGACCTTTCAAGGTCCCTTCCAGTTCTAGGAGATAGGATATCTCCATTAATTAATGTATTTTATTTATTTATTTAAGCAGTTGCAATCCCTCCCAGTTTGGTATCATCTGCAAACTTAAAAAGCGTACTTTCTATGCCAATATCTAAGTCGTTGATGAAGATATTGAACAGAGCCGGTCCCAAAACAGACCCCTGCGGAACCCCACTTGTTATCCCTACAGAATCATGCCTTTACTTGTATGTTCTGCCATTGTCACCTCCTTTGTTCACTCAATTTACAGCCTGAACCCCGAGCTTCATGTTGGTGAGAGGGTCTGTGAGCACCTACCAGCTCATTCTCAGGGGGTATGTGTGTCACTTCTGTAATTATGGTCTCAGTTTCTGGAGCTGGGATTTCTCTGGCTCCCTCGTCCTCTCTGTAGTCTTCCCCATTACCTGTGCCAGCTCCAGATGCTGTGCACTGAACCCTCACCAAAGTTGCCTGAAAATAGCTTGGCTCTTACACTGTAGATCTAGGCCTCATTAGCATGTACAATATGCTAGTTTACATATGTCTGTGAATCTAGAAGGCATTTCCATTCAGCCCAGAGTACCTGGGGAATTTCCTTGCTTTGGATGCACTTGAAAATCCCATGAGTGCTGGACACTGACAACTTGGGTGCAACCAAATACCCGTTTTGAAAATTCCCCAGCTCCCATGTGAGCCCCTCGATGGGGACCCCAGTAACTAGTTGTGCTTCCACAAGCTTTTGAAAATGTTGATGCTTCATGGGTGCTGACCATCCACAAATCAATATCACCATTTACAATCAGGCTGGAGTTTGTTAGAAGTGTCCCTTATCTGCCTCTTGCTGCATTCCTACAGCATTTGAAAGCAGCATGGGAAAACTGTTTGTTTTAATATTACTTTAAAAAATCAGTGACCACCCTTTTCCTACCCCACACATCCAGTCTAATTTCAGAGGCTTTTCTAGCAATTCAGGTGCTGGTGCGAACACCAGACTGTTCCAGCAGGCTACAGGTGTCTCATTGCTGAAGTATGTTAAGTGACTTTTTGGAATGAGTGTGTAACATCTAGATATAGGGAGAACAGCAGCAGTACTGAAACAGCAGAGCATCATAGAGCAGCAAGGTTTTTAGAATCCCTTTGGCTGGGCTGGAAGTACTTGGACAGCTAGGGCACACAGTAGTGGGAGCAGGTTTTCCAAGAAAAACCTTCACCCACATTCTGTTTTCAAAGTTTACTTTGTTGTCTGAGTGCTCAAAGGGGCTTTTGAAAAGTCCCCACTACTACTTGTTCAAGAGATGACCCCAAGTCTTCTGCCTCCCAGTCCCATGCTCTAAATTAGTGATCATGTTGTCTCACATTCAGAATATGGCCTTGTCTACATGCAAATTTGCACCAGTTTAAAAAGACAACTTTCATTAAACTGGGTCAATTTAAATGGATAGTCTATGTTATATTATC